TGTGTGTGTATGTGTGTATGCACAAGAGCCCATATGCCAAGACACACATGTGGAGGTTAGAGGACAGCTTCGAGGAGTTAGTTTTCTCCTTTAACTTTTACATAGGTCTCAGGGATTGTACTTGACCACAAGGCTCGCATTGAGAATACCTATGTAAACTGGGCAGTAGTGGCGCATGTCTTTAATCTTGGCACTCGGGAGGCAGAGGCAGGCGATGTCTGTGAGTTTGAGGCCAGCCTGGATTACAAAGCAAGTTCCAGGACAGTCAGGACTGTTTCGCAGAGAAACCCTGTCTCAAAAAACCAAAAAAAGAAAGAAGAAGAAAGAAAGAGAAGAAAAGAATGCCTATGTTTAAATTTCCCATAATAAAGTTTTGCTGATTGGGTTATGTTTTAAAGAATAGGCCAAGCGCCCTCTCGTCTGTAGAGAAATGCAATCCAGGAAACTCCTCAACAGCTCTTCAAATCAAAATTAACAAAACACAGTTTTCTCCAAGTTTGCCTGAGTTTCTTCCATGAAAACCCCCCTCCCACGCATAAATTCCTTGTATTTTAATCAAGAAGATAAAAATATGAATTTAAGCAACTGCGGGAATCTGGTTAGCGGTATGACCCAGAGGCTAAGTCGTTCATCAGTGATGAATGTTGCTGGGCCCTTTGCTTCAGCTCTGACTCACAGTGGCATGCTGTGGGTACCTAATACTTTGTGAATATATTTCATTTCCTTGGATTTTGCTGAGGATTAACTCTTTTTTCATATTTTTTTTTTTGTTTTTGTTTTTTGAGACAGAGTTCCTCTGTGTCTTTGGAGCCTGTCCTGGAACTAGCTTTTGTAGACCAGGCTGGTCTCAAACTCACAGAGATTCTGCTACCTCTGCCTCCCAAGTGCTGGGATTAAAGGTGTGCATAACCACCACCTGGCTTTTTTTCATATTTTTAATTTTAAAAACTTACTTTTTATTTTGCATACCAACTCCAGTTACCCCTTCCTCTGCCCCCCTCCTTGGGGAACTAAGTTGTTCCCCTCCTCCCCATTATCAAGGCTGAGCAAGGTCTCCCTCACAGGGAGAGGTTTAACTCTTTGTAATACTTCTGTGTCTGTGTGCACATATATGTATGCACATGTTTGTGTGTATGCGCATTTGAGTATGGAGGCCAGGGGCCAACATCTGGCATCTTCCTCTGTTGCTCTCCACCTTACTTTTTGAGATAGGATCTCTCACTGAACCTAAAGCTCACCAAAGCACTAAGGATGGCTGGTTTGAACCCTGGGACTCTGTTTCTTTGTAGTTTTGGAGCCTGTCCTAGAACTAGCTCTTGTAGACCAGGCTGGCCTCAAACTCACAGAGATCTGCCTGCCTCTGCCTCCTGAGTTCTAGGATTAAAGGCATGTACCACCACTGTCCACTTTTTTTTAAAGATTTATTTATTATATATACAGTGTTTTGTCTGAATATATGCCTGCCAGAAGAGGGTACCAGATCTCATTATAGATGGATGTGAGCCACCATATGGTTAGTGGAAATTGAATTCAGGACCTACAGAGAAAACAGTCCATGCTCTTAACCTGTGAGCCATGGAATTGAATTCAGGACCTACAGAGAGAGCAGTCCACGCTCTTAACCTGTGAGCCATCTCTCTAGTCCCTGCTCTCATTGGTAATAAAAAGCTGATTGGCCAAGAGCCAGGCAGGAAGTAGAGGCGGGACAACCAAACTCGGAGGATGCTGGGAAGAAGAAGGGCGGAGTCGAGTTGCCAGCCAGACACAGAGGGATCAGGAGATGAATGTGCCATGCTAATAAAGGTACCGCCATGTGGCAGAGCATAAATAAGGAACATGGGTTAGCTTAAAATGTAAGCACTAGTTCATAATAAGCCTGCGCATCAGCCGAGCTTCAGTGTGTTTGAGAGCAACGGCAGGACAGGAAAACTCTGCCGACAGCACGCCTGAAATCCTGGCACTTGGGAGGCTGCGACAGGAACATGATAGTTCACAGGCCTGCCTGGAACACATAGTGAGACCCTGCCTCCAACACAGCAAGTCATATATTAATAGCACCTCTAGCTTTGGGGAATGTGTGTACTGAAAACAGCCTGGTGTCTGTGGTGGGTGTAGAGAATAAGACTGATTCCCTTAAGGACCCAGTGGACGGCGTTAGAAAGGCCAACAGGGAAACCTGTAGTATGGAGTGAGGATGGCTGTTAGTGTTACGTCCCCCACGTAGATGTTCAATGTCTTCCCAATAAAGAACAGGCGTATGAGGGGAGACACATGCAACCTAGGGCGGGTCAGCCACTTTATAATACATGTGTACCTCAAAGTACTATGGCTGCCATAGACAGACATATTTTATTTGTCAGTTAACCTTTTTTTTCCATAGTGGAAGATGTACAGGTGTTAAACACAAAAGGAATGGATTGGAGGAAAGATAATGAACCAATGAAATAGCAGTTCCAAGAATATTATCTGAAATGTGTGACAATGCAAAAATGGAAAGGTCACAAAAGGTCATCAGCGGCTTTTATAGTGATGCATGCGAAACACTGCAAGTGTCCTGATGTCATAGCTAAAAATAGCCTCTGTCTTTCATCCCCTGGAGAAAGAAGCCAGGGAATAGCAAAATGATAACCAGAGAAGAGGACGATTGGATTGTGTTGGGTTTGTACCTGGACTGACTGACCGCAGGGCCTTAACAGCTGTACTGAAATGCCGATGAGAACCTGAGCCTTCCGCTGCGGGGAAAGTAGTTTGGGCACAAACGTTTCCTTTGGTCAAACAACAACCAAAAACACGTTTTTTCAAATCCAAAGCTAAACAGTTAGAAATGACAATCTGTGTTAGTTATTCTTACTGCTATGACAAAACCCTGACCAGAAGCAACTTGGGGGAGGAAGGGTTGATGTAGGTTCACAGCGTGACGGGATTCTCCCGTCAGTCAGTGAGAGTTAGGCATGGTGGTGGAAGTCTGAGCTGCTACCCGCAATGCACCCAGAGTGGGGAAACACAGAGACAACAGGGAGCCAGGCTATAAAACCTCACAATGGTCCAATCTCCGGTGGTGGTCATGTGTGGGGACACCCCACATCCAGCTGACAGTGGGGGAGATGGGAACTGCACTGGAGTTTGGTTACTAGCTGTCACCACCAGATCTCTTTCTGCCTTGCACTCGCGAGAACTCAGTACACACACACACACACACACACACACACACACACACCGGTGTTTGGGTTTTTTTTAACCTGGAAATCCCTACCTTGCCTTACCTTGTGGGGTTTCAGGACTAGGACATCCCAGACATCATGAAGGACCAGCCTGGGAGCCGAAGATGCGGTTGCCAGGGTATAGACCTAACACACATCTCATAAAACTGTCCTCAACAACCTCTGAGGGCTGGGGAGATGGTTCAGCCCGTTAAAGCATTTGCAGTGCAAAACTGAGCACCTGAGTTTGATCCCCAGCGCCTACGCATCAAGGTGGAGGGAGAGAACTGACTCACACAGCTGTCTCTGACCTCCACAGGTGTGCCCTTGGCACACTCCCCTTCCCCTCCCCCTTACACACACACACACACACACACACTCACACGCAATAGCAATACTTAAAAAAATATAACTTCTGAGAAATGGGATTACATGGTTTGTGAAACAGTGATTTGAAAGGTGTTGGTTTTGATGTCAATTAGCAAAATAATCTCCAAACAGTGTGTTGCTCTAGACACAATAAAAGTAACAAGCGAAGGGAGTGAGAACAAACACCAAGGCTCTGGGGCAGCAGGTGCTAATGAGTACCCAGCCCAGCTGTTTACTTTCCAGGCATTTTGGTCCTCTTGGTTGGGCACCCGAGACTCCATCTGTCCCTTTAGGTATGAGCCTTTTGAATAAGATCATATAAGGGATAGTTGCAGCTTTTAATTTTGGTGAAAATTAAAATTAAAATTACATTTTGCCACTTAGTGAAAAATGTCTTGAATGTTATGTGAAAATAACTTTAACCACATTGCTGACGTGGCCACTTCTTTCCCAAAATTCCCCTTGTTCAAGTTGATTATTTTGTTTTCAACAGACTTACTAAAAATGTTTCCTCCAGCCTAAAGCAAATGGAAAACGCTTCTCTGAGAAGCTGTGGTGACCAGTTCAACAAGAATCCATACAATGGTGCCTTCTGTTAGACCAATGTGTAAGTTATATCCGATGCACCTGTGTAGCCCTTAACTGAACAAATAACCAGAGGATGGAGCACTGGGATCTACTTTGGGGAGCAGGTGGTGGGTGGGCGTGGGCAAACGTGTAGTCACTCCAACTTACGGTTTCAGATGTTGTTTATTTGTGACACAATACGGACTGACAACATTTCGGGGACTGTTCAAGGCCAGAGCACATCGGCACCACTATGTGGTTATAGCCTAGCCCATGCCACGCCATGCATCATGCATACTCCATCAGGTTTTGTGGGGGCAAACCTGCGGGTCCATTCCAGCTAACAGTCACTTCTGGGTGTCACTTTTCCCTTCATTCTCCAAAGCCTTTTTGATGGCTGCACATGGTTTATTTATACATTTCTGTGCTACTTTGAAATTCACACAAACACAACTCTCCTGAATGTGAAATTAAAATGCACGCAGTGTTAGGGTGATTTCACCAGCCTTGGGGTGTCTGCCCACTTTAGGATGAGGGCTATATAGAAATCTGCTTGTAATAAAAACTGTTGACAACCGTGACAAAAATAAGGATATAATATCAAAATAAATCAAAGGATATACAGTATTATCATTATTCTGATACAGAATTTTTTTTACATAGAAATATTGATACCAGTACAAATGGCAAGATATCAGGAAATCCATTACAATAGACCTTTGGATTACAAATAAAAGTTTAAATTATAACTTAACACCGATTTTTAAATGATGACTCCTGTCATGCCAGATGAAAATCAATGCTTCCTCCTCAAGTGGCATTCCTTAGAATGTCTCCAACAAGAAGATTTTTTTTTTTAAAAAAAAAAAAGATCTTCAAGTAAAAAAAAGAATGAAAAAAAGAAATGTAATATTCCATTAGGGAGAAAACGCCTTTTGCTTAAACAAATCTAGAAAAGCGGACCACATTCCTCCAGTGCCCCATTAAGTTTGTCCTCCCACCAGCTAACCGGCAGAACTGAAAGCCCCTGGGCTGGGCTGGATGGGTGCCGGAAAAATCCCAGAAGCACTCTCAACTTCTGCGCCCAATGAGCCGCCTGGAGTGTCTGGTTCAAATTGCACCCTCTTGCCACCAAATGAGAACAGAGCTAGCTGTTTAAGCCTCCTTAGTAGGTCTACCAGCAAACCAGGGCTGTAGAGACCCCACTTTAGAACGCTAGGCTAAAGTGAGGACCATCAGAGTCTCTGAAGGGAGGGCACGTCTGTGCACTCGGCAGGATGGGCAGAGGGGGTGCAAAGGACAAAAAAGAAACTTCTGCAACAAAATACCTACTCTGATTCTCCTGTTTGTGAACATGGTTGTTTCTGGCATTCAAAAAATGTCAAGTCATAAACAGGGAAATGAGAAGTCGGTCCAGAATGCTGTGCCCATTATGCGTCTATCCAAAAATCAAAACTCTCCTTCGTAAAGAAAAACAAAAGTCACTTCAAAATGTGACTTGGGAAGTGGAGGAAGTGAGAGCGTTTCTTTCTGGCATATTCTTTGTTTGACACACTCACAAGTGAGACTTGACGGACATTGTGCAGGGGAGGTTCACACTTCAAGTTCCTGCTTCAGAGGGATCACTTCCGGGCCAAACAGATAAACCGGTTGAAAGAGGTCCGTAAACACGCCAAGCCTGGCAGGCAGGGACAAGTGTGATGCATTCTCCGCCCCCAAAATGGAACCTACAATAAAAAAGGGAACCGAGTCAAAAAAGTTTGATTTTTCAATTTGCCTGCTTGTTGGTTTATTTAGTGTTTAATATGTGTGTATATGTGTGGTGCATACATCTAAGTGTCTGACTTTACCCCTAGCACATGAAGGCCGAGGCCAGAGCCTGCCAATTTATTTTCTTGGGACAGGGCCTCTTACAGATAAGGTTGCTATTTCAACTAGGCTGGCAGGCCAGTGAGGTCCTGGGGTACACCCATCTCTACCCCACTCCCCACCCCCAGTGTTGGGGTCACATGCTTGGCTTTTTATGAGGTTAATGGGGATTTGATCTAGGGTCTTTGGGATTGCAAAACAAGCATTCTTCCCAACTGAGTCATCTGCCCATCACTCTGACAAAAAATAAAAATGAAAACAAATGAAGCCGTTCTGTGGATATCTGGATCCTCATCTATATTACTGAACGCTCGATAGGCAATACACAGCCCCTTGCAATATACATCGTCTTTCCCATCCCTGTCATCAGCATGGGAAGATTTCAAATACAGACTCACACCTGTTTTTCAGAGGAGAGATGGGAGTACACACATAGATGAGAAAACAGCCCAAGTTCCTTCACACATATGGAGCTGAAGGTTTGGCTACAGATGGATCAGAAATACAAAGCCTGTTTGCCTGTTGTATTTTCTCATTTTGGTGCTGTGTGTGTGTGTGTGTGTGTGTGTGTGTGTGTGTGTGTGTACGCACGTGTGTGTGCATGCATGCCTGTCTGTCTGCCTGTGTGTTGTGCATATACACATCTGGGTGGGTATGCATGCAAAATTTATGCAGGATCCATGTGGAGGACAAAGGCGGATGTTGAATATCTTCCTTCCTCAGTCACTTTTCCATTTTGAGACAGGGTCTCTTAATAAAAATGGCACTGGCCAATTTCAGTAGACCAGCTAGCCACTGAGACCCAGGATCCACTTGCCTTTGCCTCCTCAATGCTGGAATTACAGAAGCTCGCCCCCCGCAGTTGGCTTTTGTACTGAGGTTTTGGGGGATAGAACCCAAGACTTCTTGCTTCTGTGGCAAGCATGTTACTGAATAAGCCGCATACTTATTTGTTTTCTTTTTATAGTGTCTTGCTATATAAGCTCCACAGGAAGGCCTAGGCATGACCACATGTATTCAATGCACAAGGATGAATCCACAGCTAGTCAGGAATATGGGCATCACATTCACCCACAGCCACCAGAGTTAAATCACTGAGGATGTCTAGAGGGGAACCATGAGAAAGGCAAGCTGAATATGAAGAACTTCTGTACCCAGAGGCTCTCAGCCTGACTCTGGAGAAGACCTGCTTCATGGCCAAAGCCACTCCACAGTCCCTGTACATGCCACCATCAGTGCTGGATGGGGGCAGCCCAACTGACAGCTGTCACTCAAAATAGGTATACTTTCCAAAGTTCTAGAATAAAGAGAGACAGGAAAACCACCCGACCCTGCAGGTACAGGATTTCTAGCTCGTTTAACACCCTGTCCTGGTTAGGAGGCTCAGTCCTGGAATGGCAGCACTCAGGATGCTGAAAAGGAGAATCATGAATTGGAGAATAGCCTGGGGGGAGACCCTGGAGAAAAAGGAGAGAGAGAGAGAGAGAGAGAGAGAGAGAGAGAGAGAGAGAGAGAGATTGGCAGAGAAGGTAAACCCTGTTTCCAGCTTCAAATGTTTCCTTAGCTGTCATTCTGTGTACTTCTGGTCTATCCTATCAAAAGAAGCCACCCACACCAATTACACAGATGTTTTCAGGATATATTTCTTTATAGATTTTTTTTTTAAAGGCAAAAGGCTGTCTTCAGACAGTGGCAGAACCATTCCGATCTTACTCCTGGGCTGATCTGAGAGGGCAAACCCAATGCTCATGTACAAAGCAAAAACCAAGAGTCCTGGATGTATTCCTGGGTGAGGCCACTGTCTCTCTCTCTCTCTCTCTCTCTCTCTCTCTCTCTCTCTCTCTCTCATTCTTCTTACCTCCTTTTTCTTTTTTCTTCGCTTCGCCCTTCTTCTTTCCTGCCTTCCATTTGCAACATGGCGCTGGATGGGTCAGGGAGATGACTGACATCAATAAACACGAAGGGAAATAAGAGAAGCAACAGAGGGCAGGGCTTGTGGTATGCTCACCAGGCAGAGTAAGGCACACAGCCAGGCTCCCCAGGGACCTTTTGATTTTATGATGAGTGCTTATTTCCAAGGGGCTAAACGTAGCATCTCTACACAGCCACAGCCACGCTGCCCGTAGGGCTCAGGCAGATGGTGTGTTCAGAATAGTTCTACCACTGTGTGAGTCAAGGCTGAGGGGCTAAGGCAGAGGTGGGGGGGGGGTGGCGCTGCCACCCAGAACACATCCAACAGCTGGGTACAGCTGGGCTAGCTTTAGACAGTAACAACTGGGCAGTGTGGGATGTGACCACCAATGACCTTTGCAGTCCATTCTGACGCTGAGATTTTTAATGCAAGACTTCTCCAAGCCAAGCCTTAGCAAACAATATGGACCAGTGGCTCTCAGTTACCAGGGATGATTCTGTCCATACAGCAATACCCAGTCAGTTACGTCTGACACAACTGGAATTGGGGTAGGCGAGTGTGCGTGCGTGTGTGTGCAGGTGATAGAAATGTTGCTAAGTTCCTAAACATTCAGGATAGCCCTCTCAGTAAACAGTGAGCTAGCTCAAGATGTACATACACAGTACTGAAGCTGATAACTAGCAGCCAGCATCCATGTTCAAGGAACTGTGCTTGTCCCATACAAGTGTAAAATCATCATCCCATCCCTGAGTTATACACAGGACCCAACAAGCATGTTTCAAGTTGGTGTGTTACCCGCTATCCCATCTCCAGTCCCTATTCTAGGTACTGAAGGCTACAACAATGGACCAGAAGGGAAAGGTCTTTTGCAGGAACATCAATCCAGACCTGCTTCCATGAGCTTCAGGATTCCTCATCCTGGTGCTTGCCTTTTCTCTCACCAACCAAGACCCAATCTGCGTTTCTCCTTCTAAGCATCATTCCCAAGCAGTTCGAGCTCACAGCAATTTTCTCTCCCCCTTTCCACTTGGAAGTCTCTCGTGGTGAACAGCACGAGTCCTGAAACCATCCAGTCGGCAGGGTTCTCCTGCTTCTCCCTGGGCCCATTCACTTCTAGGTTCAGAAGTCAGAAAACAAATCAATCCATGGGGTATCCATGGGGTGACGAAACCTTTACATCGATCCACATTCTAACCACTAGTCCCAAACCCGGTGGCTTGCTTCAGAATCAGTGCAACACCAGCTTCTTACAGTCCACAATTCCAAACAGGAAATTCTAAACTCGCCAACACAGAGCATGCTTCTTATGTGCTTGTGGTACTTTTAAAGGGAAAACTGAAGCATAGACCTATAAAATCCTACAGGGGACTGAGGCAGGAGGATGGTGGGTTCGAGACCAGCTTGGACCACATAGTGAGACCCTCTCTCAAAGTAGAAAAAGTAAATGTGGAGCTGAGTATATAGCTCAGTGGTGGAGTGCTTGCCTAAGGGGTGAGATCCTGCCTTCAATCTCCAGTAACACACACACATGCACACACATGCATGCACACTTGGGGCGGGGGTAGGAAGTTAAAAAGAGAAGGAGGGAGGGAGGGAGGGAGGGGCATGACTCTGTAGCGATGGAACTGCTTTCTGTCCTGACTATTGCTGAATTGGCCTCCAGTTTTGCAAGATGCCACCATCTGGAGGAACTAGGTATAGGGTGAAGGTTGAGAACCCTGAGGTAAACTACAGTATGTTCTGTCTGGGGACACTGTCCACTGAGCCTACAGCCACAGTTCTGATGCTGCTCCAAGAAGTCCCTGCACCAGTGACTCTCAATGCCCACAGTAGGAAGAATGAGGAAATCACACATTATGTTCTCTCTAACCATCTTTTACTAAACCGCTAAGTCACGTGGGTCATCTTTCAGTCTTCCCAAGAATGCTAAACATAAGTGTGAAAAGAGCATATCCTTAAGTTACAGTGACAGTGTTTAGCCATACACTGGGTTTAAAACGGGAATCACTAATAAAGTTTGACATCTTCAAAAACTTTTGTAGCAAGACTCAAATTGTATTTTTTTTCTTTCAGTAAGGGGTAATTGTACAGTCCAAGTTTTAAAGTGAAATTTAAAAAAAAAATTGTAGCTGGGTGTGGTGATGCACATCTGTACTGTAATCTCAGTATTCAGGAGGTAGAAGGTTACAAATTCTACATAGTGAGAGGCTGTTGAAACAAGAAAGAGAAATAGAAGAAGGAAGAGAGAGGGAGAAGAAAAGAAAAGGAAAGGAAGAAAAATTTGTTTAAATACGTATTTAAAACTGGGGAAATGGATCAGTCGGATAAGTGCAAGCATGAGGACTGATGAGTTCTCATCCAAGCATCCACATGAAAGCCAGGCACAGGGTGGCCCTGAAGTCCTGATGCTGAAGAGCTGGAGACAGCCGGACGACGGGCAAACACACACCAGTCAGTCTACCGAAACCATGAGCCCCAGATGCAATGAAAGACCTTGTCTCAAAAAGTGAGGTGTAAATTTAATGAGGAAGACAACATGGACCCCTGTCCTCAACATGTGCGCGCGCGCACACACACACACACACACACGCATACGCATACGCACACACCCCTGTGCAAACATAATAGAGACATGCATACAGACTGGATTGGAGCTGGGTATGTAGCTCAGCGGGAAAACACTTGCCTGGCGTGGGCAAGGGCTCTATGTCCCGCTCTAGTGCAAACAAACCAGAGGGTGGAACAAACAAAGATGCGATCGGAACACTTTTTTAAATTAATAAATTAAAAAAATAAAACCGTAAAAAATTCAAGTATCAATTATATTCATCAAATAGTATAGAAAACCTGGCATAAAAGTCTTCCTTTAAATTATGGAAACCACAATCTAGTTAAAACCACAGTGTAAACTATTAATAGACATTAAAATAGTGTGATTCTTTTTTTTTTAAAATAGTGTGATTTTTATAACTATTTTCTAAAGACATGATTTCATGAGTCACTCAACGTCCTAAAAAATGAATACCACTTAAAACATTATTCCCCATGAAATGTGCTTTCTCCAGGTAAACTAATGTCTTGGATTCTTTGCTTCCTTGTTTCTTTGGCTTCTGGTGGTGCTTGGGACTAAACCCAGGTCCTTGATTACGCGAGGTACTCACTCTAACCCCGAGCTACTGCCCTAGAGACTCACTCCCTGACCCAGGCTGGCCTTGAACTTGGATTCCACTTGCCTCAGGGTCCCAAGTGATGATATGATAGCCGTCTGCAATCAAGTCCCACTCTTTTATTTCACTTTGAATTATCAAATATAAAATAAAAAACCTCTCAACTTTAAAAATGACAGTTAATGCCAACTCTAAGTCCACAAGTCGATGGTCGTGCTCGAGACAGAGCGAGGGGCAGACCCCAGAACCGCCTGGCTTCACCTGCCCTTTCACTTCTCAGCTACCGCTCTAGCCCTTCAAAAGTCAGCTTTGGGGGCTGCTGAAAGTAGCCTGAAGTAGGAGAAAAAATTTTCCATGAAGGATTTGTATTTTTACAGTTTTCTAGGAAACCATCGCTGGCCTCGAGTAGAATGAGAACTGTGCCGCAGTGCTCATCGGGGCAAATCTATGAAAGCATTCTCCTTTACTTCCCTTGGGGAGAATGTAGTTGAGAACATTCTAGAACTACATTTTTCTAGACTATGTTAACTTTATCTTCACCAAGATGATCAACTTCAGCACTGACCCTGAAAATAGGTCATCAAAATGACCTTTAAAATTTTCCAGGATAGGAGAAAAGGCTATAGAATGTCATAAAATCTGAGTTCTAGAAATGTATTTCATGTAGATATCTCAGACATGACATGAAATCTTGTTTTTGAGCACTTCTGCCGGCTTATCACTTAGTTTTATTATAAAATCGTAGTCATTTAGAGGTTTTTTTTTATTTGACCTGTGAAGACTAACTGCAGGGCTGTAAGCAGGGGTGCGTGAGAAGACAGACTCACTCCTTTTCAGAACTGGCATTACAGCAAATTAAATCATGGAAACAAAACTCAGTTGCTTTTTAAATATCAAAAATAGCAAAAGAGTCCCTGCCTCAGCCCTGCCCTGCCCCGCCCACTTGGACACTAGCTAGCCTCCTCCTAAGTTTAGCTGTGCCTCATTGGGGTCTTGTGAGGGAGAACCTTGGTGGAAGAGGAGCCTTGGAAATGATTATAAGAATAAGCAAATTCGTGCCTCAGATCAGTCAAAATCCAGGACGGAGACCTCCCAAGACATACTTTCAAGAGAAAGCCACTAAGGAGGCTGTCACATGAAGTCACAAAAGATTTCTATCCCGGAAGATAAGCCGTTTTCAACAGACATATGAGATTAATGAAAAAAACACAGGCAGTCAAGTGAGTTAAGGAAGGCCAACACAGGATCTGGAGGAGAATTGACAGGCGTCAACGGAGGAAACAAGGCACTCCATGGGTCAGATATGGAAGCATTACTTGACAGCCTTAGTAACGTTAGATCAAGCAGAAGAAAAAATAATAGAGGTTAACGACAGACCATTTGATCTGACACTAACAATCCAAATATATATCCAAATATATGTATGTATACATATGTATATATATATATAATATGTATATACATCCAAATACACACATATAATATAAATAATGTATGTATGTGTGTGTGTGTGTGTGTGTGTGAGAGAGAGAGAGAGAGAGAGAGAGAGAGAGAAATGCAGAGGGGAGGGAGACAAGGAGAGAAAGATTATGCAAAAGCTTTGGGATACCCTTAAAAATCAACTATTCAGATCATTGGCACATGATCTGGGGCCATTGAAAACCTCTTCAGTAAAATAACAGCAGAAAACTCCCCAAATTTTGGGAAAGACAGGACATTCAGGTACAAGGAGCATTTAGAACCCTAAACACAGACAACTACAGAAGTATGCCACCGTGACATAGCATAGCTAAGTTGTTAGAAGTATAGGACAACACAGCCCCAGAGAAGCTAGGTAACAAGGAGAACCCTAAGAGAGACAAACATGGATTCCCAGGGAAGGGGAATTAGACAAGATCTCCTGAGTAAAGTGGGAGCATGGGGTAGGGGAGAAGGGAGGGCGGAAAGGGAGGATGAAGGGGGAGAAAAGAAAGGGGAGGTAACTGGAAGGCCGAGATACACAAAGAGGAAGAGCAAGGAAAGAGATACCTTGATTGAGGGAGCCATTATGGGGCTAGTGAGAAACGTGGCACTAGGGAATTTCCCAGGAATCCACAAGGATGACCCCAGCTAAGACCCTAAGCAATAGTGGAAAGGGTGCCTGAACTGACCTTCTCCTGTAATCAGATTGATGACTACCTTAATTGTCACCATAGAATCTTCATCAATCAACTGGCAGAAGCAGATGCAGAGGTCCATATCCAGGGGAGCACTGGGCTGAGCTCCCAGAGTCCGGTCATAGAGAGGGAGGAGCAATAATATGAGCAAAGGGGTCGAGACCATGATGAGAACACCCACAGAAAACTGACCCGAGCTAGTAGGAGCTCACTGGGTTCAGACTGGAAGCAGGGTGGGGGGAGACCTTCATAGGACCAAACTAGGCCCTCTGAATGCAGGTGACAGTTGTGTGGCTTGGGAAGTCTGCGGGGCCGCTGACAGTGGGACCAGGCTTTATTCCTAGTGCATGAATTTGCTTTTTGGAGCCCATTCTCTATGGAGGAATACCTTGCTCAGCCAAGATACTGGGGGATGGAGTGGCGGGGTGGGGGAGGTGTCTTGGTCCTGCCTCAAAGTGATGTGCCAGACTTTGTTGACTTCCCATGGGAGGCCTTACCCTCTCTGAGGAGTGAATGGGGGTGGGGCAGGAGGAGGGGAAGGAGTGGGAACCAGGATTACTCTGTTGATTGGCCTACAGAATGAAGCTGGTTGTGGTGGTTTGACTGAGAATGAACCCTGTAGGTTCAAGCATTTGAATACTCTTTCTATGGTTTAAGCTCTGAGCTCTCAGCTGTTCCTGCTGCCCTGCCTCTGCTCTGCAATCATGAACTCTAACCCTCTGAACCTGTAACCAACCCCAATGAAATGCTTTCTTTTCTTTTGATTTTTGAATTTGGGGTGTTTGTTCTGCCTTGTTTTTCTAGTCAGGGTTTTTCTGTGTAGCCTTTGCTGTCCGAGTAAGCCAGGCTGTCCTCAACTTCGAGATCCTCCTGCCTCTGCCTCCCAAGTACTGGGATCAGAGGTGCGTGCCACTGCCACCTTGCTTATGCTTTCTTAAACACACACACACACACACACACACACACACACACACACACACACACATGGCAGGACCTGGGGAGATGGCTCAGAGTATGAACTGCTTGCCAAGCAAGCACAAAGACCTGAGTTCAGATCTTCACCATTTTGGAAAAAAGCCAGGCACTGAGTGAGTAAGACACTCAGCAGCAATGTCTGGCATCCATAGGCAAACACAGAACCATGTGCACACACATGTACATGTGTATACACATAAGGCACAAAGCACAAACCTGGACTGTTAGCACTTATCCTGGTGGGCATCTTGCCTCTGCCATTTGGTTTTTAGTTAGTAAAAAATGCTCAAATGACCACGACTGATTTCCCTCGGGTAGAGGAATGGAGTAATCTTTGTCAGAGAGACGGAAAGAAGGGTTGCTCTATGTTTGCTCCAGGATAGTCTGTGTGACCTCAATTGGGCTTAATGCTGTGTAGAGTGCATGGAAAAGACAAATGTGCAGCAGAGGTGTGAGATACTGGGTAAGAACGACATACTCAACAGTTTGTATAGACTAAATGACAGTAAAGTAGTTACTGTCGACACCAAAAGGTTACTTTGTATTTTTTTCAGGTATGCTTTCTATACATGGTTCTCAGAGCAGAAAAACAACAGGAAGCTACTTAGGGACAATGGCTTCAGTACACAAGAGAGGACTTGCTAGGTAGTAAGGAAGAAAAAGGATCCAGTACGGAAAGCAACTGAGCCAGCCTCACTTGCTCTGGGAAGCCTGGTGTTAAGACCCATGACTGACGGTAAATGCCCAGGAATAAAAGGTGTGTGTCATGTTTAAAAAATGAGTGAAATCTTGCAGGGTCAAACCACAGGAAGAATGGCTCAAATGCAACAGGAAGCATTTCACAAGGCAGCCAACCACAGCACAGCTGGCCTTGAGTACAATCTTCAGACAGGCTCCACGGCAACCAAATTCTGGGGTCCTCACACTGAGCTGCACCTCAGCGACAGGCTACCAAAGTTATCTAGGGCAGTTGGAATCACAGAGAAGACGGTGGTGTCTATAATAGCTTCAAACCCAAAGATGTATGGGGGAAAAAAGAAGACAGAATTCTGTTTGATTTGAAAATATGCTACATTTTCTTTAAAGAAGTATAGAATCTTCTTCCAGGAAGCCACCTGCCCTGGACCGTTGCCTCTGGACTAGATTTGCCTGATGGGAACAATGAGGATGAAGAGAGATAGCAGGAAGGGGCTGCCCCTTGTCAACCTTAACACTTGCCTGACACTAAACTGTGTTTAAATTTTTTCTCCATGTGATAGACAAGGACACAGTTCTACTCACTGTCTGGTCACCTTCCATCTCCCCTACCTACGTCCTGATGTTGTAGAAACCCACTGGCTCTCCAGTTGGAGAATCTGCTATTCCTAGGGACATAGTCTCAAAGCTCTATCCGACTTGACCCTGAAGGCCTGTGACCTCGCCTTTCAGGGTCCATACCCTTTCCAAAGTTCTTTAGGTTACCATGACATTGAGCGGCTCTGCAATCATGTTAGAAAATTAAATGTCCCAAATCTCCAAAGTTATTGAAATCTTATAGGTATAGAATACGAAGTTTGAACTGGGCACTGTGGTATATACATGCCTATAAGCTCCATACTTGGAAGAAAGAGAATCAGGAGTTCAAGGCCAGCCTAGACTACATGAGAAGCTGTCTCAAAAACCAACAAAATAGAACTTGTAAGATATAAGTGTAAGTGAGTTAGTTATTGGTGATGGTCTCAAAATGAAACACAACAAACAAAGCCCGTAAAGTTGACTGACTCCTTCTCCATCAGCTGGCTGAGCACTGAGTCTTTTCAAGAACTCTTCACTTTGATTTTACCAAGTATGTCCCAGTAAAATTTCTACGTTGTTCCTTATAAACCTAAGCACGTTCACATGTTAGGAATTAAGTTGATGGGTTTCTTTTCATGTCAGGAGAGCAATGGTATAGAAATGATGATTGGGATGTAAGGGGAAAAAAGGGAGAAATGGGTGCCTCCCCCCACCCCCGTACTGTCCTGTGACTTCCAATTTCAAGTGTACTACCCAAGACTTCCATCGCCTGGGCCTTGCTCAGCAGGAAGGTAGACCAGAAGTCCCAGTGCAGACACTAACTTTCCGAGTCAGGGGGTGGCAGCTGTCTCCCACTTGGCCCATGGGTGTGCAGATCCTTATGCTCTTAACCCAGATACTGACAGCGCAGCACATGCCTCCTCCACACTGCGAGTCTTTGTCGCAAGCCTGAAACGAAAGAAACCAACAGATAAATATAGAGAGCGGGAAAGGCTCAGGCTCGGGAATTCTAAAATTAGCGGCGAAAATCCCCTTTAAATATCCAAATGCCCAGCCAGTGAAGTACTTGCAACACACACATGAGGACGCGAGTTCAATCCTTAGAACCTACCAGAGAAGCCAGACATAGTGGCTTGCGCTTGCAATCCCAGCTCTGGGAAGAGGGAGCAGGCTAATCCTTGGGGCGTGGTGGTCAACCAGTTTAGCCAAATCGGGGGCATTCTAAGCCATGTGAGGAACTATGTTTCAAAAAAATAAGGTGGCTAGCACCTGAGGACAGTGTCTGTACTTAATGTCTGGCTTCCACACACGTGCCCATACATGTGTGTGTGTGAGCACCTCACTCAACATGTATACCTACACACACATAAAAGTATCCCAATGCAGTAATTTTTAATAGACCAGAACCATAAGCTCCATTTGCTTGTATACACCTACAGTCACATTGATCAGAATGTTTCCCTGGACTAAAGAGCTCCGGTAAATATGAAAGCCAGGATTAAGAAGCAAGGAGGACGGGAGGGGGAACAACACTTCAGCTCTCTTCTGGTGCTTTATGGCTGAACTTAAAGAATGTGCTTATGCTAGCCCTGCACTATACACAGCCATTTGGAACTGCACAAATCAAATCGCAAGATTTTATGACTATAAACTGCTGAATATATGGGGCCTAGTTTTAAAAAAGAAAGGAACATGGTCTCCAAATCTGGCACAAACCACTGCAGACCTGTAGAAGCACCGGCGCAACATTTAGAACTGCTCGTTTTCCCTTTCAAATATTTGCCCTGCGCTTTGTGAGACTGGGTGCTTCTTGCCTGGGTACCCTGATTTTCACCATTTCCTCTTTCAAAATAAGAACTCTTCAAGGGAGGGAAGGGACAGACCAAGACTTTTGCCCCATTCCAATAGTCGTTCAAGCGAATGACATGCAGAAAGGAACTGACTGCTTAGAATCAGCAGATGTGTACATCAGAAACTCAGTTGAACTAGGCACAAAAGTCCTTTAGGTGAGACAGGCACAGGACAACAGGGGCAATGGGCAGCAGTAATCTCTCAAAGTACACACCCAGCATGCATAAACTACAAGTGCATACAGCCAAAGAATCAGTGTGGAGGACTTCCCATGTGGCAGTGGAGAAATGGAGCCCAAATTTATTTGCATGAAAATGTATCCTAAGAACTATGGCTCCTTCTTAGAGACAACAACAACAAAGTGATACTTTGTTTCAGCAACGGCTAGTATTCTGTTGTTCAAAGAAAGTAGTGGCTTATTTAACTTTGGGTGACTTTTCCTCTTTTATTATAGGATGATGTTTATACATCCTCACCTTCTGATTCTTGTCTGGACACCAGAAATCATGCACATATGACCATCATAGTCCTTAAGTGTTAGATCTACTCAACAATCTCCTGCACTATGGTTTTACTACATCTATATGAAGATATCAAGTTCAAAGACTGTGTGTGTGTGTGCGTGTATGTGTAGTAAAAGACTCTAAATTCTGAAACCCCAACAGCTCTTTTTCTAAGACCATAAAAAAAATCTAGAAAATTCTTTTAAAATTCAATCAATCTCTTAGATGCTTATCACCCTGTATACATTTTCTCTAAAGAAATCACTGACTTTTTCATCTGAATCCACATGGTTTCTGTCAGGGGGACCCAACTAACGTTCTATTGCCGTGTTGCTTTAGAGAAGTTTTTCCAATACTCTTTTCATAACATTGAATTAACAACAAAAAAACAGGAGTCCACATGACTGTACCACCCCCATCCCTGAACCCCACCAGCATGTAAACATGAAATGAGATAAAATTTCATTTCATAACAAAAAGCTTCAGTTGGAAATTTACAGAGAATTGCCTAAGTTTATATCTTTTTAATTAGACAGCTGTTTCCTGGTACCCTTTATTCTCCTTAACCCATTGCAGAGCCATGCAAGCAGTGTCCTGTGAATAGAACCGGGCAACACTTGCACTGCCCAGGAACCTGGGGGCTTAGAGGATTAGGAAACCCTTAGAATGAACCAGCAGGGGAAGGAGGGAAAAACCCACCCAATCATGTTTCCATTCGCATGTGTTACAAAGACACCGTAGAGACTTTTGTTCACACACACACCAACTGGCTACTGATGAAGTTTTAGAAATGGTTTTAAGAATCTCAGCTCTAATAAATAACACAAGGCATAAAATCAAATATCTACGGGGCATAACTCAATGCTGCCATAGCCCCAGAGCTTTCAGAATGCAATCCGTACACTGAGAAACACAGAGAACACCCATCTTCCTTTATGATGACCCTTCTCTTAAACGACATGCTATTTTATTACCTGTACGTCATCGTTCCAAACACATCTATATTAAAATCAAATATGTTCTTAGATATTAAAATTGATTTAAATAAATATGCTAACAACTTTTCTTTTTCTTTAATGAGTGAAACAGCAGCCAGAGGTCTGCTGGGCTATTAAAACAGACTTCTGAAATGGGCGATTAAGACAGACTTCCGAAATGTGTTGTGAACTCTCTCTTCAGATAGACAAAGAGAAAACTCAAGAGTCAAGAGAGCTGAAGGAATGGGCCGTTTCTAAACGTGATGAAGACACTCTCTAGTGACAGCTTGCTCCAGGAGGGACGTACCATGAATCAAACTTGACAATTTATCTACGAGGAACTTCATGACGAAGAAGGGGGAAAAAATAAAGAATGACTTAAAAATAAAAGAGCAGCTGCCTGGCAATCCAGTAAAAGAGCCCACAGTTGCTTTTCAAAGCTCACACATGGCCGCGACCCAAGGTACTTCACAGGGTAAGGCCCACCCCGGAGCTGTGGAATTTGAGGTGCATGTCTTGCTCTTTTGCAATTTAAGGAAAGGCGGTCAGATTTGGGGGGTTGAGGATTTCCAAACCCTGGAAAAGAACTTTCTCACAGTGGGGGTGGGGTGGGGGAGAAACTTCTTGGCGCTGCTAAATAGAACAGCAGACCAAACCCAAGGTGCGGGAGGGAGAGGTGAGGAAGGCGCTGCTAAGGCAGTTTGATTCCTTAGTGCGCCTGGCTGTCCCCTGCTTTAGGAGCAAGACACGTTCCCAAGTGGCCAAAGGGGAATCCAGGAGAATGTCACACCGGGCACACCCTACCCGGTGCCTACACACCCCGGGCCTGGTGTCCCGGGGCGATCCGGCGCGACAGGTGCGCGGGCAGCTTACCCCGGTGATGACCGCGGCATCCCCGGCGGGTGACTTGAGCAGCGGCAGCAGCAGCAGGAGTAGCAGTAGCGGGGCACAGCGCGGGCCCCCCATGGCGTCCCGGGTACACGGTGGCGGTTGGGGCGCGCGATCGGGGACGTTGGGGACGCGTGGCCGGTCTGCTCTGCCGAGCCGCGAGCCTGGCGGCAGTTATAAAGGCGAGCCCCGCGGTGACTCACGCCCGGC